GTAAGTCGGACCTGGAAGCCAATGCAGAAGCTCTGACACAGGAGATCGACTTCCTGCGGCGACTGTATGAGGAGGTGAGGGGACACAGGGCCATGGGGCAGCAGGAGCCTGCAACACTTTGGGATGGACTTGCGACCACTTTGGTCTCTGAGCCTCTCAGCGGAGTCAGGGGACAGAATACTGTAGAGAGCTGAGACAGACCTCAAAGTGAAGAATTGTAGCTTGCTTCTCATTGAGCATCCCTGGCTACTGTAACCACGGTGACCACAGTTAGTAAACCACAGGCTTGGGCAACAGCACCAAGCTGAGGTTACAGACATCAATTCTGTAATCCCCAGCACTGAGGGATGGTCCCAGGGGACACCAGGGCGTGACAGTGGCCATCAGACTGAGACTATGGGAGAAGCAGGGGAGGAGAGAGACTGGGAGAAGGTAGGAAGTCAAGAGTAGGGGTGTGAACTAAAAAGAGCTTTCCTCCCCCTCCTCCCGCAGGAGATCCGAATCCTCCACGCCCACATCTCAGACACCTCTGTCATCGTCAAGATGGACAACAGCCGGGACCTGAACATGGACTGCATCGTGGCTGAGATCAAGGCTCAGTATGATGACATTGCCACCCGCAGCCGGGCAGAGGCCGAGTCCTGGTACCGCACCAAGGTGAGTGATCAGGACACTTGTCCCTTAGACATGGTGATAGAAAGGATATGAGGTGTCCACTAGAAAAGGCTCGTTTGTCTAAGCATTCTGCGTCCTAAAGGACAGAAAAGAGCCAACAGTAGGGTGAGGCTTGCTGCCTGGCTCTGTGGCCTAAGCACTCAACAACCTTACCCTCACTGACAGTATGTTCAGTGGGTGGACATCCCACCCTGAACTTCATGACATGTCCAATTCTTCTCAGTGTGAGGAGATGAAGGCCACAGTGATCCGGCATGGGGAGACCCTGCGCCGCACCAGAGAGGAGATCAACGAGCTGAACCGCATCATCCAGAGGCTGACGGCCGAGATTGAGAACGCCAAGTGCCAGGTAAAAAGCCCAACCCCACCACATGCCCAGCATGAGGAGTGAGTGGAGTCAGCTACCAGGGTTAGAAGCCAACACTAATCTCAGCAGTTTCCTGAAAAATGCTTTCATTCCTATTGCATGGGGACGATGCCCCATGTGGAGATAAAAGGGACTTTCCTGGTCCCCAGGCCAGAATGAGGCTGAGAGAATACCAGTGATTTGTAAGGTACTGGGAAATGGATTCTGAAACCAATCCTGGTACCCACAAGTCACAGGTTTAGGGTAAGCAGTTTAATATCCAGCCTAGGTTCTAGGTCAGGAGTCACACACTCAGGCAAACAGAGGCTGGGATTATGTGCAACAGGCTAGTCCCAGGCACAAGAGTGTAGCCAACTGAAAAACACAAAGACCAGAACTGACCAGACCCAATAGGAACAAGTAACAAGGGTGTGCAGGGCTAGCATGGTGAGGCCTCTTAACTTTTTCAAAAGAAGCCAGAATCTGCACCAGTAGGCTAATGTCTAGAATTGAAGACATGGCACTAAGAATAGGAACTTTTAGCTGTGAATGCTGGGATTTGGCCCTTGAACATAGAACAAGGAACTTTAACAACCCTCCCTGTACCCCAGAACACCAAGCTGGAGACCGCAGTGACCCAGTCTGAGGAGCAGGGAGAGGCCGCCCTCACTGATGCCCGCTGCAAGCTGGCTGAGCTGGAGGCTGCCCTACAGAAGGCCAAGCAGGACATGGCCTGCCTGCTCAAGGAGTACCAGGAGGTGATGAACTCCAAGCTGGGCCTGGACATCGAGATCGCCACCTACAGGCGCCTGCTGGAGGGCGAGGAGCACAGGTGAGCTGAGAAGAACCATGTGGGGGTTCATTTTAGGGCCAAACTGTACTGATAAAACAAGCTGGCTAGGGCCTGTCAGCCCTTGCATGGCAGGGGCAGAGACCCTGGGCCTCCTGGCTAACGGTTTGGGCACAAGTGTGACATATAGCTCTGACCACACGACTCCAGGCCAGGCTTCAGCAATAATGGTTTCCTATCACGTATCCTATGCTCTTTGTCAAGTGCCCATTTATAATCCTCCATCCTGTCAGGTAAGTACCATTTTTCCTATCCAAAAACAGAGAAGGGATGGCTCAATCTTCAGCTCCTTTCCCATGGCCACAAAGTTACTAAGCTGCAGAGCTGGGACCCAACACTAGGTCCTGGGCATGTGGAGCCCATTCGGAGTTTCCCTGGAGTCGGGCTCATGTACAAATAAAGATGCTGTGCCCTGTACACCGTAGCTCTGCCTCATGCTTACTGTGAGCATCTATTGGCATTCAGCAGGCTCAGGCACTGATGGCAGGCGGTGTGTGAAAATCACGATTCCACTCACTACTGCTCTAAACCAGGAGGGCTGGTCTCCGTGAATGGGGACACTTTAAAGTCAGAAAATGAACATTCCAAGATTTGGGGAGCCCTTCCTGCCTCTCAGGAGGTAGTTCCAACCTAGAACAAAAGCTGACCTTGTCTATCCCCAAGCAACTATCTCAAGGACCCAGCTCACTGCTTAGAACTAATGGTGCTTTCTTTCTCCTCAGGCTGTGCGAGGGTGTGGGCTCCGTGAATGTCTGTAAGTATCTGCAGGAAAGGCCCCCTAAAAAATGACTCTGGGGTTGGGTAAAGCTGCAGCATGGGCCTACCCCACTGAACCTCCAATGTTTCCCAACATTCATAGTCTTTCCTCTTCCCCAGGCTCCTCCCTAAGGACTACTGGGCAGGAAGTGGGGTGGAAGGTGGGGAAGTAAGGGTTGCAAGTCCAGAGAAGGAGGACTGGGGTAGCTTCAAAAACAGTTGAGCACCCATTAACTGGTGGCCACTAGACACTGCAGTCCAGGGAAATGGGTCCAGATGTGCCATGAGGTTGAAAGAACAGGACATGTCATGTTAGCCACTGATCCCTTGAGGAGGACACAGGCCCTGCATGTGAAGCCCTCAGGCACCTGTGGTGGGTGGGTGACACCAGCAAGCCCCTTATTCTTCCCTGTTCCTCTTCCCACAGGTGTCAGCAGCTCCCGTGGTGGAGTCACATCTGGGGGCCTCACATATGGCACAACCCCAGGGCGCCAGATTGCCTCTGGTCCCTCTGCCACTGGGGGGAGCATCACAGTGATGGCCCCTGATTCCTGTACTCCTTGCCAGCCAAGATCCTGCAACTTCAGCTGTGGGAGCAGTCGCTCAGTGCGCTTTGCTTAGTGTCAGGACCTCCAAATGTCTGCCCCAGAGTGGAGTGATGTGTGTATAAAAAAATGTGTGCTTGCTTCCAGAATAATCTAGATGTTCCTATGGGAGGAAAGAGTCAGGACCACTCTCCTCCACCTTCTCCTTTTAGGGAGCTGTTTCTTGGTTTTCCTTGGGCTTCACTTTAGAAGATATTCCCAACCCTCTGCTTAATTCCAACCTGTCTTCAAACACTTGTAATTAATTTGTATCATTCACCAAGCCCTCTAGGACACTACCTGCCACCCAGGGTGGCTAAACAATAAAGCTTGGCTTTCAAGGGTCAAGGCACAGTCCTAACCACTCAGCCATTCCTCCAAAAACTAAAGCACCAGAGGGAACCCTCCCCAAGAAGCTCCCATTTCTGGCCCCAGAGGCAGCAAGCACCTGCCTATCTTTGGTTGTGTTTGGTCACCTCCCTGACTGACTGACTGCCTTCCTTGGGGCAATATGCTCTATCCATACTCCTTGGGTTGCTCCCAGAAAACAGTCTATTTTCCAGGGATTCCTGCTACCTACAGCTCCTGGCTAGGGAGCTTTGAACTGGTCTTGCTATTCAGGGCGCCTTTACACATTTCAAAGACTCCATATTTGCTCCAGGCCTCCCCTGCCTGTGCAGAAGGGAACTGCCCATGGGAGGGCTGATGGGACGGGGACTCTGAGGCCACTTTCTGGTTCTGTCTGTGGGTGCCTTGCCTTCTGGAGTGCCCCATCTGTGTTTCAATAAAGGCTGCTGCGGTGCAAGGGTGTGTGGTGTTTTGTGCCAGCATCGCCACTCCCTGCTGGTTTGCCTGTCCAAGCCAACCAGTCCGAAGCCGGGAGGAGGGTTGTCTCCGGATACTTATCCACTCTGCACAGCACGGTGCTCAAGGCACAGAGGATGAGTTGGTAGGCCCCACACCCACATACAAAGAATCACAAGGCACTGAAGGACAGACTCTACCCTGGATGTGGACTTCACCACTCAGAGCTCTAAGACACCAGTAGTCCACTTCCTCCGTGTCCTGTTCCACACCACACCCAAGTTCAAAACTCCATGCCCATGCGGTCAAATACACAGACTCCTCAGAAGTCACATCCTTGATGATGGGTTGCATCCTGTCCACTGTGCCCACCCACTCCCTGCTATCCTTTGAGGCTCACTCGTAGATCTTTATTACAACCACCTTATGCTGCTCCCAGCCCTACCCTGTGGGCCCCACACTTGGAGACCTCAAACCAGCCCCATGCCTGGGATCAATCCTCTCAATGGACAGACGCCTGGAGCTCTAGAGCAGAGACCCAGACATTTGGAGGCCCCTGCACAGAGGTCCCCTCCTCCCTCCCTAGGTATCTAGACAGCCATTCCTCCATCCAGGGATCCAGGCACAGACTCTCTATCCACAGCCTAGGCTCTGAGACCCCTGCTATACCAGACCTCCCTCTGTCACCCCCTGGGAATCTCAGTTGCAGAGGAACCCCTCAAAAGTATCAGAACACATAGTCCTAGGTCCCAGGAATTGATGAGGATGGGTTTCTTCAGCATCTACTTGTTGCCACCTGTTCCCTGAGGCCTTCTTGAATGCCCTCAGCAGAGGCACTGGAACCAACCCCAGCCTGGACAGGGGCCTAGATGGCACCCTGGAAAGGGGTTCGGTACCTTGGAGCCACACCCCTATCAATCTGAACCCCAGTCCTGAGCATGTCATACCCTCTGCTCCCTCTGCACATCATTCCTGGCTGCCAGGGAAGGTCGCTCAGAGGAAAACTTTACTAAAACCAACAGCAGTTTCAGAGCATCTTCTGTCTTGTGACAGGGACACGAAGCAGGAGGGGTCCTGTAGGTGGGACAAGGATGTGAAGCTGGAAGGGTTCCGTATGTGGGCAAAGGGGTGTGGAGATTCTCCAAGTCCACAAGCTTGGTTATATGTGCTCAGTTGTGGGGGCTCCTGCGGGTGGTAGATGTGGTCCTGATGGAATGGGCCTTGAGCCCTCTGGGCCCCCCACTGCTTGAGAAGCTCAGAGCATTGCTCCCCATGGTTCCCCCGAAGACGAGCCTGCTGCCACTGTCCCCAGTGGAATTCACTACAGCTGGAAGAGGAGAGGGTCTGATTAGTGCACACACCCCTGCCACACTTCCCCCAGCCCACCTTCCTGTCACAGCCGCCCCCCCTTGCCCTGCCTCCCTTCTCTAGCAAGGCCCCCCAGCCTAAAAGAAACTCCTTACAGCAGCAGGGCCCTCCCCAAGGTCTCAAAGCCTTTCCTCACTGGCTTCCCTCTACTCTCTCCTTTGCATTCTTGCTCTGAGCCCCTGAGCTGGGTGGATATGGGTTCCATGGAACCTGCCAGAACTGTGTGTGGAAGGGGAAGCTCCCAACTCCACAAGCCAGGGCTCTTGGGCCAATCTACTATGCTCTAGCTATCTAAGCCAGCTAAGTCCTCACAGTTGGCACTGTGGGGGTGGGGGAGTAGCCAAGAACTTACAGATGTTCACAGGGCCAATTCCACTTCCAGACAACCTGGGAGAAGAGGATAGGTCTATAAGGGTGGCTCTCACCTCAGGGCGGAGCTAGCACTGCCAGGCATCAGCCTCCGGAGGCCAAGCAGAATCTCCATCCCTCCCTTCTTGTTTCCAGCTCATCTTTAGCCTTGTTTCAAAATCACTGAAGAGTAGGAGCGAAGAGGCCACTTAGTCCCCGTTCCCAATCAACTACATGGCCTGCATCAAAGTTCCAGGGCATCCGTATCCCATCTCTAAACCGGGCCTACCTCCAGAACCAAGGTGACAGGTTTGTTTGTGAACATTGCTGCATGCAATTTCCCTACGAGCCCCAAACACCTAGGGCTTGGGATACGATTACCATGCTTATTAGTTGTGAGCAGGCCTGCCCTTTCTCACCAGAAGTTCTCAAAATGGGCTGCTGCTTACGGACTCCTGTGTTCAGCCCCTAGCACAAGGACTGGAACTAGCAATTACTTAATAGATGCTGAAATAATTAATGAATTGTTGACTGACTTTGGCTCCAGCCAGGACTGAGAGGGTAGGGGAAGGCGGGGTGGCTTTCAGCTGCCCGTGGGCCTGAAACAGGTCTTGCAGTGGAAATTCAAAATCTGAGACAGCTGGGTGTGTTTGTTTGGTGACTCATAGTCCCATTGTCACCAAGCTCTTGGCCTTGGGGTTCAGTTGCTTGGCGGGGGGGGGGGCGGCCGAGAGATACCTTACTTTGATGGGGAGGGGCAGCGAGGATCCACTGGCCTCAGCAGCCTCACAGTGAAGGTGGGAAAGGGTCAGGTTTTCGGGATGCTTCCAGGATGCTAGACCAATGGCAGAGACTGCTACAAGTTGGAGCGCCAAGGGCTGGGTGCCACCAAGCAGCAATTCCAGGGCACTGTCTAAAGGGCACGCTGGGAACAGGCCTGATGTCCAAGTTACAGAGACTGATTTGCTCTTCCATTCCAAGTATATATTGACTTTGTGACTATATTTGCAACATTGTATCTCAAAGAATACAAACTCAAAACAATTATGAAAGTTTCAGAGCCACAATCCATGAAATGCCTAGGAAAAGTTAAAGGGGTTGAGGGATTTAAAACAGGAAGAATCAGGGCCCCATGTAGATAGGAAGGTGCAGAGAGGCCTCTCAGATGCAGCTGCCTGTGGGACAGCATGTAAGACATGCCTATGTGACAGCCTGTGGGATAACCTGTGTGACATCCTGTGTAGCAGCCTGTCTTCCAGAAGCCTCTGATGTTCAGTTCTTCTTTTCACAAAGAAGTCAGGTGGTTAAATACATGTTCGTATAAACAGTGTAATAAATAACACTAAATAGGGTGCACAGACCCTCTTTTACCTCTGGCCTACATTCTCAACTATGCCCCCTTCCCCGTCTTCCTACCACCCAGGCTTTCCGCCTCAACACCCCCCCAGTCCTGCTCCCACACACACCCACCTTTTGGTCTGCTCCATTCATCTTACCTACACACACAGCTTAGGAGAGAAAAAGTTCTCCAGTGAACTTAGCATTTAAACATTGTAAGTTAATGGGACCAGGATGACGGCCCTGCAGATACGAGAGCTCGCCACCAAACCTGACAACCTGAGTCCCATCACACAGTGGAAGGAGAGAACCTATTCCCCAAAACTGTGACCTCCACTCACACTGTAGCACGTATGTACACACACACACACACACACACACACACACACACACTGTAGCACGTGTGTACACACACACACACACAATATAAATGTTTTTTTTCTAAACTAATTTGTTTTTTAATAAGTGTAAGTAAACAAATGTAATAAATAAATAAATAAGTAAATAAATAAATAAAGCTAAAGATCCTGGTTTCTGAGCTTTTCCTTTGCAGGTGTTTATCTCCACGGTGAATGTGCTTCCTCCCTGAGGGCAGAAACATGGCTTAAATATTATCTGCCTCTACGCTGGATTCTAACTCTAACAAGTGAAGACTAGCGAGGCTACTCCCATGTTTTCCCGACATGGTTACTTCTCGCCTCGCCAAACCCTAACCTTCTCCAGGACAAAGCTTTGTGGGGCCCCAGAAGGAATCAGTCCCTGCAGCCTCTAAGAACAAAAGCAGCCTCAGAGGAGCTCTATCTTGCAGGAAGCCAGCCCAGCCCCTACCAGTCTTCCCCTCACTGCAGGTGACTATGCAAACAGCTCTGGGGACAGAGAAAATGCTTCTAGCACACTGAGTGCCACATGGTGAGCCCCAGTAGCCATGAAAAGCGGCCTAGCTTGTTCATGGGCCAGCAATCAGCAGCCCTCAGCTGCACACTGCTCTGTCCCTCAGGTGACTGAACCACAGCTTGTGTTTCTGCAGACCCTGGAGGCAATGCTAGGAGCTGTGGGGATGGCTCAATGAGTAAGAGCACCTGCTGAGACCTGCATTTGAATCCCCAGGACCCACATAAAAAGCCAGGTGTGGCCTCACATGTGCCTGTGACCCTGGTGCTATGGGGGAGCAGGTGGGAGACAGGGTGATCACTGGAACTATCTAGCCACCAGCCTACCTCTAGGTTCCATAGGAGACCCTGTCTCAAAACAAGGCAAACATGGAGCAGGACACTGACATCCTCCCCTGACCTCCAAGCATCAGCTTGAATATGGGAACCTATGCACACATGTCCATGCATCATACCAAGGAACAACTCATTTTTTAAAAGCTCTGCTTGTTAGTATTAAGGCATCTGTACTGGCCTGACCTTGGGGTTCAGACAGGATCCGTCCTCAGCTGCAGCCACTGAGAGCATCCCCTGTGCACATTCACTACGTTCCCTTTTAAAGGACCCTGCCCACCTCCCATCTCTCTCTCTCTCTATTTCTCTGCCTGTCTTTGTCTCCCCCACTCTCTGCTTCTCTCTTCTCTTCTGCTGTTTCTGTCCCTAGAGGCCTGTCTCCCCACCTCCCCTTCCCTCTTTTTGCATTCCCTTTATAGAAACCCCTCCACATGAACTTCGTTGCATGATATCTTTCTCTCGCCCACCACTTTTTAAATTCCAACACTGCTAATGGCCCTACTTAGGAAGGGACTTACCACATGGCTTTTCTACCGGAAGAACATTTTCTACAGGGCTAAGCAACAATCAGGGACTTTGGGCACCCTGTCCCTCCCACCCTATACCCTGCAAAGGAAGGGCACCTAGGAGATGCCTGTGGGTATATTAATAGCAAAGCCAGACCTTACTGATCCCCCAGGACCTCCTGCTCAGCCTGCATCTCTCACCGGCTCTCCTCGCCCTCCAGCAGCTTGCGGTAGGTGGCAATCTCGATGTCCAGGGCCAGCTTGACATTCATGAGCTCCTGGTACTCCCGCAGCTGCCGCGCCATGTCCTGCTTGGCCTGCTGCAGAGCGGCCTCCAGTTCCTCCTGCTTGGCATGAGCATCTTTGAGTGCTAGCTCCCCGCGCTCCTCAGCCTCAGCAATGCTGGCCTCCAGCTTGGCACGCTGTGGGTGATAGTGAGACCATGAGCAGAGGGAACAGTTGGCCACTGCCTTCCTACCAAACCATGATGCTCCAGTAGGCTTCACTGGCCCTGCCTACTCCCCCAAACACCAGGGAATCCTGAAGGTTAGACACAAGGATATGAGGAGCCAATGCTTAGGAGCTGATGCTGGCTCTGCCACTTTCTAGCAGTGTACCCTTCAAGCCAAAGACTCTTCTTTCTAAAAGAGTAATGATCAGTGTCTATCCCACAGGAATACAGTAAGGGTAAGGGGATGAGACATGGTTCCCACAGGCCGGTGTCTGCTGAGAGCAGCTACCACTTACTATGAGCATTAGGGCTTCCCCAGCTTTGGGAACTTCCCCTACTTATCACAGTTTTGGTCTTGAATGGACATCAAGGGCCCATGTGTGAAGCTTTGGTCCCCAGCCGATGGTGTTTATCAGGAAGAGGGTAGGGGATGGGGCTAGTGGAAAGAACTGAGGTCACGAGGTCGCTGGGGACAGGTCCATGAAGGGGAATGAGGAACCCTGGTCCTTCTCTGCATTCTGGCTGAGGTAAGACGAGGAATTCTGTACTACCATCCACCCACACACACACCACAATGTTCCACGTAGCCACCTACTCGAAGTGACGATGCTTAAACCAGGCACTGAAACTGTGAGCCGAAGCAACTCTTTTCTCCTCTAAATTGGTTCTCTGCAGTGTTTTACACAAAGGGTAGATCGCTGGCTAACACAACCACTAACAAAAGCTGCTTCCCTCTCCTATCCCATACACTCCAGCCCAGGGTGTCTCTGCCTTCATGAGGATCCCTCTCCATCCTAGGGTCTTCTCCCTTCAGCTGAAGTCGCCACCTCTCTACTCCATGGACCCCACTCAGTGGAGTCCTCGCACACTAGTGTCCCCTGGGCCAGGCAGGGCAGCCCCTGCCTCTAGAGACCACCCCAGTCCCTTGAGGCCCTCAGTGATGATTGCCGTCTGAGAAAGCTGGTGGATGTGGTGAAGGCTACGGTCTGAGGAAGGATCATTTGGACCATTCGTTACCCTGAGCCTCCTGTTCTGACCAAGAAGTTGGACTGCTTCCCTGGGTGACTCACAGCTCCGCATCCAAGCCAGAAGGCAGCAGCTGCCCTGTGTATAACCCACCTGCAGGGCTCAGAGAAGGCTCTTCCTGGGTAAACCGCTCTACCTTGCGACCGCAGTTCAGTGAAACGTTTGCTGAGACTGCAGCACGCATCCTCTGCCCGCCCACGCTGCAGACGCCTGCTCAGGCTGAACTGTCATGACCACATTGGCACCTCAGTCCCTCATTGACACCCCCATTCCAGCTTTCAATAAAGTGCATGTGCTCTCAGACTCTCCTTTAAGACTTCCATCCCTGTGGCGTGACAGGCTCCAGAAGACAGGACCAGAGGTCAGACAGATGGCTTCCACTCTCAAGAAGTATGCAGTTCCAGGGGGGTGAAGACAGCCAATAACTTAATAACCTCCAACACTCCAGACCGTAGAAGGTGCTTCAAAGTCCTTCAGGTGGCTACTAGTGTGGTGGCTGGGGATGGAAGATGTCAGTTCCCACACGGGGACTCTGGCCCTAAATCCCACAAATGATAAAGCAAAAGCCCTGGACAGAGATGGGGGAATCACAGGCTGGTGGACTGGGAGCCTTGGCGCATGAATGCTAGGTGAAGGAAGATTTAGGAAGCAGGCTAGCATGGCCTGAGTAAAAGGAGAAAAGGGTGTGGTCCAGACTGAAGACAGGGTGGCGCGTGTAAGGATTTCTGACGGATGCGCTGTGAGCCCAGAGTTAGGGGCAAGCAGAGTGCTCAGTGTCAGAGTGGTTCCTCTTTGGTTGGTGACCTGAGCTCCCTTCCACCGGATCCGCGCCCAGCCACGACTCTTACTGTCAACCCAGCCCAGGCCCTGGTCAAAAGTTTTCCATCAGGTAGGCCTGAGATGTGAGCTACATCCACCTGGGCCCAGGCCTCCCAGATTCACCCTGACCTTGACCTGGCTAGCTGCCTCTCACTCCCAAAAAGCAAGGATAAGGCAGCAGAAGGGCAGGTCCCCACCTGGTTCTTCACGGAGTCAATCTCAGCCTGCAGCCTCTGGATGGTGCGGTTCAACTCCGCAATCTCATTCCGGGTGTTGCGGAGGTCATCTCCATGTCTCCCGGCCTGTGCCTGGAGGGTCTCAAACTGAAAGATCGTGAACACAATGATGGCAGGGTGGGCCATCACTGCCAACCACCAGGGCCTTCTCTCCACCCACAGAAAGCCTCTCCCAGCCTACATTCCCAGGAAAGACCTCAGCCACCACTACCACCCAAGCCCCCACATTCACAATCCCAAAAGGCCAATCTACAGGGCAGTCTCTGTCCCCTCCTAGCCAGGATCTGAGAGCATGAGTCCAGGCCTGTTCTTCTCTATCTATGCACACTGCTGGGCTCCACACCCTTTGCACCCTTCAAACCTGGCTTCTGACTTCCTTCGGTGACACTGGTTTAGCCCATGTCTCTCCCATGTCCTTAGCAGATTGCCTGCCCTCAGCTGTTTTGACTCTATAGTAACAAGTAAGCCTCCCGTTCCTGGAACACTGCACTTCAAGAGCTAGTGCCCGCTCTTTCACCTACCAGCTGTGTGAGCTGGAAAACTGACTTAACCTCTCTGGGCCTCATGTTTAGAATGGCAATCACAGCAGCACACACCCAGCAGGGCTGCTCTGTGGATTAGACACGTGGGGGTGACAGAAAACACTGCCTAGCCCCGTGTAAGTGTGTCCCACTGATCAGCACTGACACTGAACCATTCTCGATATGTCTCATTGCTCTTCCTCGGCCCCATCAGCCTCAGCCTGGGTTCAGGCCTAAGGCAGGGAACTAGCCTTGGCTCCTTCTTATCCTGAACTCGAGCCCACCATGTTCTCAATCACTGGTGCCTGCCAGGTCCCGAAGACTGGAAACAGGATGAGGAGAAAGGGAGCTGCCCCCTAGAGGAGAAGATGTCCCCAAAAGGCCACACACCTTGGTCTGGTACCAGGCTTCAGCCTCAGCCCGGCTATGTTTGGCCATCGCCTCATATTGGGCCTTGACATCGGCAATGATGCCATCCAAGTCCAGGGAGCGGCTGTTGTCCATGGACAGCACCACGGATGTGTCTGAGATCTGGGACTGCAGCTCTTCTAACTCCTGCAGGGACCAGACAGGACACTGGGCTGCATGTCTGGGACATGATCCGCCCCGTTCCACACCACACTGGAACCCACCCAAGGAAAAGAGCAAGAAGAAGCCGGAGTGGGGAGAACAGCCAGTGAGGACCCAGCACATGCTGAATAGTTCTGCCCACCCTGGCTTCTAGCATCTCAAAGAGCAGAATCTGGTAGGACTAAAAGAGAGAAAGAGAAAATGTGGTGCACACAGCAGCTCCTCCTGCGAGGTCCCCTCAGGGTACTAGCCTTGGCCCAACTCCTGCCAGGTGATGGTCAGCGGGGCTCCTTCCTAAGGCTAGAAGATGACATGCCACCCACCCTGGAACTCACCGTCTCATTAAGGGTCTTGAGAAAGCTGATCTCATCATTCAGACTATCCACCTTGCCCTCCAACTCCACCTTGTTCATGTAGGCAGCATCCACATCCTGGGGTGGAAAGACAGAATAGAGAGACACCACGTCCTCAAGACAGGGAACAGCCAGTAGAGATGAGACCAAGTCATCAATCCTGCTCGATATTTCAGGATATTTCCTGCCTCCCCGGAAACTTCCTCGCTGGCCCTGCAGGTTGCTGGATTGGTCACATTTCCAGCCTCTCCTCAACCAGCATTACCTCCCCAACACCTTCAACCCTGGGACCCAGACCAAACATGTGACCAGCTCCCAAAGGCTTCATGGTATGGACACAATCCTGGCTCAGACATCCTGGCTGTGTGCAGAGTCAGTTCCACACTGAACACCTCATCTTCTCCATCCGTGTAAGAGCAGAACACCAGTCATTCAGATCCCCTTCATCCTCCTAACGATGAGCAACCCCAGCTGGCCAGCTTCACTGGAAACACTGGGTGACTCTGAGGCCAGTGAATGCCGGTCACAGCCCAGGTGGGAGACAGGCTTCTGTCAGTGCTTTTACATCACTGTGACCAAAATGTCAGCCCAAACAATGTCAGGGAGGAAAGATTTGTCTAGCCTCTGGGTTTCAGAAGCCTCAGTTTGTCAGAGCAGAGAAAGCCTGGAAGACACGGCAGCTCACATCATGACTGACGGCTGACCAGAAGCAGAGGGAGGGAATTTTGATGCTCTTTTGGCTCTGGCTCACTCTGTCTGTCTGTCTGTCTGTCTGTCTATCATGGATCTACCTACCTACCTATCTATCCATCCATTCATCCACCCATCTGCATACCTACCTGCCTATGTCTCTCTCTGTCCATCCCTTTTATTCTGTCCAGGGCCCTAGCTTCCTCCCTCAGTTAGCCCTCTCTGGAGACGCCCTCTCAGACACACCCAGAACCTCACCAATGTTGCAAGTGATTAACAGTAATAATAATAATAATAATAAATCAGGTTCTTACTATGTGGCCCGGGCTAGCCTGGGATGCACGCTGGCCTCAGGCTTGCAATCCTCTACCTCAGCCAAGCTAGAATTAAAGGTCTGTACTGCCATATCCAACTCCTAGCTGATCTAGTCAAGCTGACAGTGGAGAAAACCATCGCACTCTTCTACCTACTCTCTGGGTTGACCTCATGGGTCTTCAAGGGCGCGCTCTGTGGCCAGGCAGTACACCTGCAGCAGGGTCTGGAATACAGAGCTGCTTGGTGAAAGGGTTTGGACTTGGGATTCTAAAAGTCTGGTAGCACAAATCCCTCTAAGACACCTCTACGGCTTACCAAAGGCCACTTGCACATCTTCAGGAACAGGGAGCTCATCCTGACCCGAGACAGATTATTGTTCATTCTGCAAACATCTGAGACCACCCAGGAGCCCTGAGGTCTGGGGTAAAAGTTCTGACCCCCAAAAGACACTTCCTTAGATGATCCTAAGACCTCCCTCTCAAACTTCTATCTTTTGTCTTAGTTCTAACCCTAAAGGTCTGGAGACAACTCTATTTGCCTACCAGACATGTACATGTGCACAGGTGCATGTATGCTTGCATGTGCACATACAAGCATACATGAACATACGGCATGAGGACACAGGTTGTCCTACTCCTATATGACTTTGTGACTTCCCCAAACTCATAATTCCCTTCTGTTTAGTCAAAGGCAGGCCTTGACCACAGACCTAGCCCTGGGGTATAGGGGCCCTAAGGACCCTGGTACCACCCTGGGTATGAGACAGCCCCCAGTGCCTCTGCCCCTCACCTTCTTCAGCAACACAAACTCGTTCTCAGCAGCCGTGCGCCGGTTGATTTCCTCTTCATACCTGCAACCAGAGAGGGGCATGGGGACAGCCCAGCTTTGTCTCAGGCCAGTCACACACAACACTCAGTGACACACCTAAGAAAGCAGGTGGCACAGTTACAAAACCTAATTTCTCTTACTTCCATGCAAATAGGCCCAAGTCTTTGCATCTCGGCATGGAGGGAAGGGGCTCGGGAAATGTGAATTAGAAGCCAAAGGCTGTATCTACTGGTGGGGAAAGCAAACAGAGCCAGGTTTAGGGGCTGTTTAATGGGGCCTAAAGTGCATGTTTAGTGGCATGCACTTCCTGTGGAATAACTCACTCCCCCTCCCAATAGCCCTACAATATAATACTGTGATTGTCAGAGCTGAAAGCACAGAGGCAGGTCACCTGGCCGGGTCATTGCACTGCAAAGGGACAAAGCCCTGGCTTTAACCCCTGGCAGCTGACTCCACTGCACCTGCTTTGACCACTAGCTAGGCCCACCCCTGAAGTGCGCAGAGGAAGTTCAAATGGGGAAAACAGACAGAGTACGTATGAAGTGGTAGCTGGTGGTAGCCCACATCTCCCCCCAAATCCCTCTTCCTCTCAAGGAGCTGGCACCTGCTTCGGGGAGGACCTCTGCCGACAGGAGCCCAGGCTCAGGACATTCATGCATCAAGAGTGGCACTTCGGTCCCACAGAAGCTACAAATCTGCAAGGCTCCCTGATGCCCCGCCTTGGTGCTGGGCTGCTGCCGCCAAATGCACTGGCTGATGCTCTCAGAGCTCCATGCCCTTCCTTCCCTGTGCCCGCTGCCAGCTTCCCATTCACCCTCTGCCTGGAGCTCAGTCTGGCTCCACAGAAGCCAGATGCTCTGGGGGAATCTAGTGCAGGGAGATGGGTGCAGGCTGAATCCCAGGCAGCAGGGGTGGCTGGCTACTCACAGCCCCTTTGCCCTGCACCTGTCTGGTTCTACCCACTGTGAGATTAGTCTGTTGACAAAAGCCCAAGGGAAGCAGCTGGTGGGAGACACTCCCCGGAGGTCTTGTTTGTTCTCCTCCAGTCAGGGCTGGTATGCCTGGCTTAGTCACCCAACCACAAAGCACACTAGCTGCCCCCAGTACCCAGGGACAGGGGGCAGGGTGGGGCCCAGCTCAAGCCTTAGGCTTTGCTTTCTGATCAGGGGGGGAAAAATGAGCCACAAGGGCATTCAAAGGCTTGTCCACAAACTCCAGGCTTCCTGTATCTGGCAGCCTCTTCCCTGGCTCTGTCCTGAGCCCTGCCCTGTCAATCAAAACCATCATTCCCATCTGTTTCTTTCCTTCTCACATCTGGGAGTTAGGGACCCAAATTCAAGACCAAGTTTCCTGTGACCTACTATGAAATCTTGACTAAGTCCCATAGACTGTCTGGTTCCAATTCTTCATTTGCACATAAGTAAATAAATAAATAAATAAGCACACAGTTCTAGAATAATCTGTGAGGGTTTCAAGTTCTGAAGTCCTCTATCATGGGATACCTTCTGCCTATGGCACCTGAGACCTTGGGGCTTAGCAGGCACCCAGAGGAACCAGGACTGTCAGGGAAGACTGTGAACAGAATGCCCCAACAACATTCCCTGGGAGGCAAAGAGAGAGGTGGGGCAGGGACACCGCTCAGGCAGTTCTAGTGGTGGGCAGCTATGAATTCTGACCCCTGAACCAGGGATACTTGCAGAGTGCCTATGAGTGGAAGGCACACTGCCCCAGGCCTGGGGTCCTCCGAGTGGCACCAGGGACATTACTTATTCTTGAAATCTTTCACCACGTCCTGCGTGCTTCGCAGTTCCGCCTCCAGGCGGCCTCCATCCAGCTGCAGTGCCTCCAGCTGCTGCCGCAGTCCCGCAACCTGGGCCTCAAAGATTCGGGGAAGCTGGCTGCCCTTGGCTGACTTCTGCTCCTGCAGCAGGGCCCACTTGGTCTCCAGCATCTTGTTCTGCTGTTCCAGGAAGCGCACCTGGAGGGGTGTGGAAGAGGTGGCTCCTGAGGGGCGCCACCCAGCAGAGCCCATGGACCCACAGTTGGTCCCCAGTGCTCACTTCTCCTCTCCAGAGACCCTACTTCAAGTGTGAGATGTGGAGGAGGCAGGCTTGGCTTGGTGGCGTATAATCATTTCTAGCCAATTTGACTTCAATGGTTCTCTCTCTCTCTCTCTGCCCTTTTGTAGCCTCTTTCGTCTCTGAAACCACGGGTGAGAGTATTAGGCTGTTGACTGGACTGCCCCTCCTTCCAGGCTGGTACTACTCCTTCTTCCTCAGTATCTTTTCTCCTCCCCATTTCCTCCAGTCAGGCCTCAGGGCAGCGTGTTAGGACCAAACCAAGGAAAAGAAGCATTGACTCCCATCCCAGGACCAAAAGGAACACTCAGCCTGAAGACAGGAAGAAGGTAAAAGGAGCTGCCTCAAAACCAGCAGCCTTGAAAACCAGAAATTGAATTAGGACAGTCCGGCCCAGCATCAAGGCAGGAGCCCAGATCTAGGTCAGCTGGAGGAGAGGGGACTTCTTCTAAGGATTTATAGGACAAAATAGTACAGGCAGGAGTGTTGGAAGGAAGACACTGAGACAGGGGAATTGGCTCTAGCCAAAGGGCCAGGCAGGGCTGAAGGTCTCAGTTCTCCTGGGACCCCTTCTTTGAGACCCAAGTTGCCTCTCTTGTCCCTAGAAGGCCATGAATGGTAGGAATGGACAATCAGGGAGCATTATCTTCAAAAGGATTCCTGTTGATGGTCCCTCAACCCAGTCCCTATCCCCCACTGGGCCATCTCCAAAGGCAGAGATAACCTCATCTCCTACCAGCAAAGGAAAGTAGAGGAACAGGCGGGTAGGTGGGGCAGGAACCTCCCTCGCCCCGGCATCTATTCTCAGATATATCCTTCTCTCATTGGAAAAGAACAGTCATTTCACCTCATTCCCGACTCCCCACAACCTCCTCTCAGGAAGAGGGACCCAGGCAGAAAAGAACTAACTATTGGCCTTGGCCTTCAGAGCTCCCAGCCTCGCCCCTGCACCACAGTGGCTCCAAAGCCACAGAGATCTCAGACCAGAAAACAAAGATGGAGATCGAGACCAGTAAACAAAGGAAGATGGGCAGATCTTAGAATCCTTGAGGAAAGGGAAGTACACAGGGCCAGCTGCTGGAGGAGAGAAGGAGCTTGGAAACTGAAGGAGGGTGTACGGAGAGTTCTACAAAGATCCCGCCCAAGACACTGAAAGAAAGAAACCCCGGCAGGCCTCCTTGGGCAGGACTGACGCAGGCGTGACCGCTAAGAACCGCTAGGGCCTGACTGGGGTGTGTCACATCGGTCTCACCTTGTCGATGAAGGAGGCAAATTTGTTGTTGAGGGTCTTGATCTGTTCACGTTCCTCCTGGCGCATCTGCTGGATTGTGGGGTCGATGTCCACCCTCAGCGGCGCCAGCAAGTTCTGATTGATAGTGATCTCTCGGATGCCAGAGCCCACCGGGCTTCCATAAGCAGAGCGCACGGCCATGCGCGGCCTAGAGCTGCCCAGGCCATAGAGACTGCTGCTACCAAAGCCGCCAGCACGGCTGGAGCTCAGGCGCATCTGGGCACCTCGGCCGGGGAAGGCGGTGGAGCGAGAGCTAAAGTGGATGGACATAGCAGCTGGACGTGGCTGGCTGGACCGGGCGGGCGAGGAGCAGTGGGAACTGGCTGACCTCAGGCAGAGTGCGACCTTTTATTCCTCCGTGCGGGCCCTGAGCACACACAGGTGGGGACAGGGCGGGGCTGGCCGCTGGCCACCTTTCTCTGCCGCCAGGGGCCTCTGGGGCCGCCTTCTGCCCTCGCGCCGCCCCCAGCCTCCGCCCAGGCTCTCTGTCCACGACAGAAATGTATGCAGGATGTCAAACGCCATCCTGGGACACCCTCACCTCAGGACGCCTCAGACACCGGCAGTCCAGAAATCTCTGGGCCTCTAAGAGACCACCTTTCAGTTGGCAGAGGAAGGCTTCCTAGAGTAGGCCTGGAGTGGGAATACCCAGATTCCTGAGGCCAGCAGGGAAGCTAAGTTCTACAAAAGGAAGTGGAGGATTCTCAATTCCAGTTAAGAAAGTTGAAACCCCTCACCCACTGGCTAGGGAAGCCCAAGGCATTTATAGGACACTTCCTCCCAGCCCAGCTGCTCCTGGAGAGATCTGACACTCAGTTCTTGTGTAACCTGACTTGGTGATGAGCCTCGTTGCTGTTTTCCTAACTGCAGAACACCCTCCCCACTCCACCCAAGCTCTGAGGCCCCCCACTCAAACTATTTTATGGGTTTCTGGAATGCCCATATGTACACTTCTGTATGTTCACACTCCTAGACACACGCATGTGTGCATACAGGAGTGGAGTTTGTGCATGCTGGTCTGGATACACAACTGAACACATGTGTATGTACATCTGTGTGTCCTGGCTCCTATGCATTTCACTGTGTGCCCTGGCTCCCATTCACACTGTGTGTCCTGGCTCCCATTCACATCCAAACACTCTGCCCATCCTGCCCCATTTTCCTATTTAAAGGCCCACCAGGTTGTACCTGAGAAGGGAATCAACGGTCCAGGTCTGGCCCTGCTGTGTAGTAGCCAGTGTCAGTACACTTATCACGCCCCTGAGTGTTCCCCACTCCCATTTTCCCAGACTCACCTGGTCAGCCTTTAGCCTACCTCTAGCCCCACCCAGTGAGCTGAGTCTTCAGGGAGTCCTGCGTGAAGGAGGGTGGGAATGGACCGCTCTTCCTGCTTTGCCTTCTCAGTTAGAAACTCCTAAACTGGCCAAGCAGACCCCCCACCCCTCAGGATGCATCCTCGATTCTTCGGCTCCTCTATATCCTCCTGCATCCCTGCCATCCCTCCCCACTCCATCCCCGATTTCGAAGGTTGTGTCCTGCCACACCAAGAGTTCCTCTTTCTCTAGCTGGGCTGTGCCATCCTAGCAGGGTACAGCTAGTGCAGTGACCTAGACAAGCCTCGGCTTCTCCCTAGGCCTCAACCCCTTCAGGTCGAATGCCTCAAGAACGCTGGGAAGTACGCTGCAAAGAAGAAAGGCGCCGTCAGGCCAGGCCTCGGCCCCCAGGAACCACCACGCACAGACTTGAGAGATATTTCCTCATTCCAGAGCCTGCACTGTGTCTTTCCTGGACCTCTTGCCCCTCCCTGGAACACTCTTAAAGGCTCCAGCGCTGGCTAGATTCCTCCTGCCCCTACATTCCCAGGCCAAACTGAGAGGCCACTCAGTGCCAGGTGAAGGCAGAATTCTCATCATTCTCATTCCTCCCCCTCGCTCTCAGGTTTCACAGCCCTGGAAGCCTCCCATCAAATTCTTGCCCCAAGGGAGGTCAGTCTAGTGGTTCAGCTGAAAACACACACACACACACACACACACACACACACACACACACGCATACACACACACCCCCACATACTCCTGCTGGCCCTCACAGAGACCACCTTCCTAGACGCTGTGACAAACTCTTTCCTTCGTTGTCCTCCACCCATCTCAGTGAGAGCACTGTGCTATATATACACAGAAAGAGCATGAGCGTGCACTCATACACACATACACACACACACACACACACACACACACACACACATTCATTCACATTAAGTCAAGTCAAGTGTAAACTTCACCTGTCCTCCGACGTCCGTGCTAAGCACCCTTAGGAACCTAGCCACCAACAGCAGTGGACCCAGGTTCTTAGCCTGACCTGGATTCCTGGCCCATGGACATAGTGACTCCTCCCACAAAGTAGCGAAAACATTTACGGCTATTACTCATAGCCCAGCAATGTAAAAGCACATTTTATGATTCTTTGTTTTGATTTTTAAAAATATTTTATGTATGAGTGATCTACATGTCTGCCTGCAGGCCAGAAGAGGGCATCAGATCTCATTTACAGATGGTTGTGAGCCACCCATGAGGGTGCTGAGAATTAACTGAGGACCTGTGGAATAGCAGCCAGTGCTCTTAACTGCTGAGCCATCTCTCCAGCCCCATGTCTTCTGATTCTTAAAGGGAAGATAAAAATCCCTTTTTCTTATCTTGGAATGTGAATGCTTCTAACCCCACTAAGAGCCACTTAACATTCTGTATGGACCACTGGGCGAGGTGGCTCAGTAGCAGAACGTTTGACCGGCGTGCATGTGGTCCTACGCTCAATCTCTGATAGTGGTACACAGAAAAATCTGCACATAACTCTTACAAAAGAAACAAGTGACAATAGCTAAGAAGAATGTGACTGACAGCAGGCTACTTCTCTGCCTGGAAACCACCATCCAGAAGAGTGTAGCAGACATGAAGAGTGTGGGCTGCTGGTTCCCTAGTACCCAGTGCACATGCGCCTGCTACAGACAGGATGACCTCTGACACCTCCTGTGACAGGCTCTCACCATATAGCCCAGGCTGACTCGTGGTCCTGTCTCAGTATCCTAAGTGCTAGAATCACAGGTACGTGTCACCAAATGTAATTACTGTCCCCATAGGAAGAGAAAACATTAAGGCACAAATAATTGAAGTCGTTTGGCCAGGATTCCACAGCTAGTATGTAGAAAAGCTAATATTTGAACCCCAGTAATTGGAACTGGATTACTTGCAAAAAAAATAATGATGATGACAGTAGAGACATGGGAGAAATAATTCAATGATTAAGAGCACCAACTTAGGTTCCCAGCACCTTTGTCAGGGGACTCAGAGCTACCTGTAACTCTAGCTCCAGGGGATCCAATCCCTTCAGCTTCTGTGAGTACCTGAAAGCACATACATGTGTGCGCACTTGTACACACACACACACACATAAAGTGAATAAATAAAGTGAATATCACTGTAAGAAGGAATACTAGTTGCAAATCTGAAGGAGTGCTCAGCACCACTCAAGCTGGGGTGAGGAAAAGATAGAAGCAGGACACCAGGCTGCTGTGGTGGCCACGCCCGTAACCCCAGCTCTGCGGGAGCTGACAGCCAGGGATGGTGAGCTGAGGACCAACGCAAGCTGCATGACAAGACTACACCTCAGAAGACAGCGGCAAAGCAGACATGAGATCCTTTTGTGCCTGTCAAGTCATCAAAGACTAAAATTGATGTTAACAGCGTTCCATGTGAGTTGCTGTGGAGGTAGCCGCAAATCTTGTCCTTTACTGCTGGGGTTATTGATAGTCACTTCCTCTTGCGGGAAAAGCTAGCAAAAGATCTCAGAGTTACACTGGCAAAGACTGGAGAGACAGCTCAGTGGTTAAGAGCACTGGATGCTCTTGCAGAGGACCTGAGTTCAGTCCCTAACATCCACAAGGATGTTCAGAACTATCTGCAACTTCAATTTCGGTGCATAAACATATATGTAAGTCTTCACAAACACACATAAGATAAAAAATAAACCTTTTCAAAAAATGTCATCAGCTTTGACATGTATGAATAAAACCAGATGAGTCCATCATCCTGCCATGAGTTCTTCCCTTCCTGGCATTCACAATGACTGCACACGTACAAGGTCCCTTCTGTACTGTCTGCGTTCAAGAAAACCAGGAAACCTAAGTGCCTGTGCACAGGGAACCCAAAGAACAGGCTGAGCTAGCTGCTGTATTAGTTACAGTTTTACCGCTGTGATAAAAGGCAACTGGCAGAAGTTTCTTCTGCGGCTTACAGTTGAAAAGGGCTCAAATCCGTGATAGCGGAGCAGAGGCAGCAGGCGTCAGGAGGTAGGACCAGCAGCTCAGATCTCTCAGATTGCGAGCAGAAGGCCTTTTGAAACCTCAGAGTCTGTTCATTGTCACTTCCTCCAGCAAGGTCACACCTCCTATTTCTCCCCAAACAGTCATCAACTGGGAACCAAGAATTCAAATGGATAAGCCTTACTTACAGGGGCATCCCATTCAAACCATCACAGCTTCGTCAGTGGATGGCTGTTTAATGAATACATCTTTTCCATGCTGACCAAGTCTTCAAATCTCTAATCAATCAGTTCATTTGGATGTTTTTCCTGCATGTATGTGCAGGCATCACGTGCACAAAGCACCCAGAGGCCAGAAGAGGATGTCAAATCTTCCGAGACTGGAGTCACAGCTGATGTGACATGGCAAGTGAGTGCTGGGAATCGAACCCAGGTCCTCTGGGAAAGCAGCCATTTCTCCAGCCCCCTTGAGATTTTAACCTTTACATATCCACTGCAAAATTGGTGCAATTTTACTTTATTTTTAACAACTCCTTTAGCTTTGTCTACATAGTAATGGATTTCTTCACACACGTGTGTTGTACTTTGCTCTTTTTCATTTATTGTTATTATTATTATTATCATGTCACCATCGTTTTTCTTTTTTCAAAACAAGGTTTCTCTGTGAAACAGCCCTGGCTGTCCTGAAAATAGCTCTGTAGACCATGCTGGTCTCAGCCTCACAGAACCTGCCTGCCTCTGCATCCTGAGTGCTGGATTAATGTGTAACACCACCACCCAGCTGTACTTTGTTCTTATTTCATCCCTTCTCTGACTTCCCTCTCTCAGGTCAACCCCATGTGGTGATATTTCATTTGTGTTTTAATAAATAAAACCTGTCTGAAGATCAGAGAGTAAAACAGCCCCACTGATCAGCCTTACAGACCAGGCAGTGGTAACACACACCTTTAATCCCAGTAGCCACACTAGTTGCCATAGAAACCAGATGGTGCCCGCCTTTAATCCCAGCACTAGAGAGGAAGATAAAAAGGAAGGAGACAGCTCTCAGTCACAGTCTCATTCTGAGATTCCTGGAGGCAGGATCGTCATTTTCGGACTGAGGTCAAAGTAAGAGTCAGTAGCTGGCTGTTTTACTTTTCAGATCTTCAAGTTGAACCCCAAATTCTCTCTCTGAGTTTTTATTAATCGTGTTTCATGTAACATGAGGGCCAGCTTGTTGGGGTATCTGTTCCAGCCCAGTACCCCACAACCGGCAACTCCCAAGGAAAATCACACACAGGACTTCATAAGATTATAAACTGAATGCGCCATTTAGGTCAGGCTACTTATTAGTTCTTATAACTTGTGTTACCCCATTATCCTTATCTACGTCAGCCACATGGCTCAGTACCTTTCTCAGCTGGGCAGCTTACATCTTTCCTCTCCGGTGGTCTGGCAGAACTGGAGAGGGAGCTTCCTCCTACCTAGCCTTTTCCTATACTCATTGCCTGCCTCTACTTTCTGTCTGGTTGACCCGCCTAAACTTTCTGTCTGGTCAATCAGCATTTTATTAAAAAAATATGATTGACAGAATACAGACAATTCTCCCGCATCATTTCCCTCTTTTTTTTTTTTTAAACAAAGGAAAATACTCATAGTCCATTTGTTGGGAATGTGGGCGTAGTATTTCAGGCTACTTCCTGCTGGTTGGGGGCGCTGATAATCTTATGGGGACCTAAAGAAAATTTAGAGTTATAATCAAGTCCTGGCTGGAGTCTCAATCATCTCAGGCAGCAGTCTTGAATCTGTTCTGGATGTAGAACTCTGTCATCTGGGCCATCTATTCCTATCGGAGATTTCTCAGGTGGTCTTCCTTTTATGAACCTGATTTTTCTTAACTCAGAATGAATCCACAGCCTCTCATTTTTGTGGAAACAAAAGCAAAATCTCTTCTCCAAAAGTCTCCTTTTGACTTCAGTTTTGAAGCCAAGGTATTTTCAAAATACCTATCTTGAGTTAGTTTAGCAGCATTTATAAACAAAAGTGTTTTAGCAACTGTTGCTCCTTTCTCAGCAATTAAACAATTTAAAGAGAGCATAATAACACACAGTATCAAGATTCTCTGTGTATTTTCCATCTTTATGTGGCTTTATTTTAACCTCTATTTTATTTTTTTTTAACTTTTGGCTTTTGAGACAGGTTCTCTGTATATATCTTTGTCCTGGAATAACTCTGTAGACCAGGCTGAGAGGAAAGATGTAAGCTGAAAAAGGTACTGAGCTGTGTGGCTAACGTAGATAAGGATAATGGGGTAACATATGTTATAAGAGTTAATAAGGATCCTGACCTAATGGGTCAATCAGTTTATAACCTAATGTAGACTCTGTGTAATTTTCTTTGGGACTTGCCGACTGTGGGGTACCAGGCAGGACAGAAACCCCAACAAGCAGGCCCCTCATGTTACAGTTTCACCCCTGCCTTCAGCCAGTTCCCTCACCCCTGCCTTCAGCCTCCCCCCTG